AGAAGAAAGAGCGGAGTCTCCGATAACTCTCAGTAGGTAAGTACGTTGGAAAGTTACGAGCGAAAAAATTCGTATTATAGACCGTTGGAAACATTAAGATAGTATTCTTGGTCAATGTCCGAACTTCTTCTATACAAGTCACGGACGGGATAAGGACACACGATAAATGGTCTGTATACAAAGAAAATAACAATTAGCGGCGCATGATATTGGGTCGTTTCGTGGAAATGGTCGAAACCATCGAGAATCTCAGTCAGTTTCCCTCCAAAACCGGTCAGCTGATGGTATTTGCCCGACCAGCTGAAGGGACGGCTGTCAAGGGTAGGCAGACTCGGCCATTTTTAAATCCCTCGTAGCCGCCGATTTAAAAGACCACGCTTGTTTTCTGCTGCGCGTCGGCCTACTCGCCTCAGCCCCAGTCCCGGCCCCGGCCCTGGCCCCATCCCCCACCAGGTTTGCCTTTCTGACGACGCGACGCGACGTACAGTGGCTCACGAAAGTATTTGAACATTTACAATAGAATTTTTTTATGAATACGCTATGTACACTATAGGAGAATCGCTAACACTGTAACGAGACGCGATTATCATAATCGTAATACTAAAATTTGAAACCAATCCGAAAATGTATATACAAGTTACGAGACATTTATTGCAAACGTTAGAACAATTAGTATACCTCATAAATAACAGTCTTAAATACACGATTGACGCTAAACATGGTTTCGCTATATACTGTGGCTTGCTAGTACAGCGAATAGCTGACTGATCGTATAATTTGATGATCTTTAAGAATCGCATGCTTTCCATTTACCGGAAAGTAAATATCTTGTAGCTTCTACGTACATTTTCAGATTCCGTTCAAATTTTGTCAATGTAATCGCGACAGCCGTGCCTCGTTACAGCGCTAATGAAATAAGACATTTTTCCTGCAATATATACGGAAAAAGTTTCTTCGAGTACTTTCGTGAGCCACTGCAACTTCGTCTTGGCCTGTCCCGACCCATCAGCTCTCGCTTCCTCTCGTGTTGTCTTCTTGTCGTCTCGTTTCATCTCATCTCGCCCCCTACCTTGTCAAGGCGTAAACACCATTCCGTTCCCTTTACATTCGTACCCTTAGACCGACGTTGGTATCGCGGCTACCTTTTCCCGCGCTCATTCCTACTTTCCTCGTTGTCTCGTTTCTTCACGCTAACCGGTCGAGTTGCAACGAACGTCCACGCACGTTGTCCGCGCATCCAACGAATCGCGCTTGTTTTTCATTATCTCCGCTTCACCGTTTTAGCCTCCAACCGTTACGACGATCACGGTTCAAATAATCAAACGCGAGTCGGTTGATCGCCGCACACTTTCGACATCGAACGACTATCTTCGATCTTTTCTTTTCGCCGTAATGTTGCACGTTCGCTGGCTGAATCTCGTTCTCAAGTACTCGCAATTTGCGACTTCCGTTTGTAACATACGATTTTTGTTTATAGGTTAATGATCTTCCCATCTCCTTCTTTCTCTCTGTGGTTTAAAGCTGACATCTTTTTCATTTCATCCGCCAGAAAGTACCCATTTATTTGTAAAAATACGTTTTGCACCAGTACTGTACAATATACTAATTTTTTGCTTTATTTACTGTATATTAATCTTTTCACGCTAAATATTCCTGTACATACAAATAGCAGCTCACGGAAGCATTCGTGGACTTGTAAAAACCTTTCCTTTTCTACGAAACATTTCGAAATTTCATTAGCACCGTAACGAGACTCGATTATCACGATTGTATTGGTAAAGTTCGAAACAAATTTGAGAATGAATATAAGAGGTACGAGATATTTCGTGCAAGTATATATATACGTGTGTAGTCTTCACTGGAATTTTGATTCAAATGGTTCGCGATAAGAGCAAATGTCCCAAATTTGCTGTTCGCTCTTAGGATTTCGCTGTTTTGTAAAGTGGGAAAATTTAAGAAGAATGACAATTAACAAAACGCTTAAATTAGTAAGAAGCTAATAGAAATCTTTGAAACTGCTTGTCTGTGCACGCCAATAGCTCAATTATTTCTTGTAACGTGGTATGAGAGAAAAATGCGAGACAACCGCACAAAATGATCTGTAGTTCGATAAATGGAATTCTACGGTGGATTTATTCGAAGGAAACTGTATAAATAAAAGGCTCGTGGCATCAATAGCTACGTTCTAACAGCAGGTCCCACACGGCAACAAAGCAAAATAGACCAAAAGAACGAAACGCGCCGTTTTTCCTTTCGTGGACTCTTTTCTTCAAGATTTCAGGTAAGTATATCGATCCCTGTGACCGCGAGACACAGGTACTACATAAGATGTTCGACATCTTCTCACACCTACCTGAAGAATCGATTCAAAAAATACTCCAATTGTAATACTCATCGCCAATGACAATTTAGTTTTTCATATATTTTTCAATATATTTATCACGAGTCTTTCAAATTTGTTTCCTTCGTTCTTCGACTACTTCGTCGATCCTCTTTTTCTTTTTTCTTCCTTTGGTTTATTGCACAGTTAATTCGTAAAATCGAAGATAAAGGTTAAGAACGAAGGAGAAGAAAAGAGAGGAAGAGAGAAATTTGGAGGGAAGACTAGGATGGTGGTGGAAAAAAAGCGGGAATGTTGCGGCGATCAGCTGAGAAATATTCCAAAAGAGGCTGGTCGGTCGGCCCTTTCGATAAACCGGTTAGCCTGGCGTGGGGCATCTTGGCGGGAAACCTCCGCCAATGACAGTCCGCTGCTTTATCTCTTTCTCGCTTCTTCCCTTCCTCCTTCCTTCTCTTTTGCTCGTTTGTCTTTCCCCCACCTTCCAGTCGGCTTTCTTAGAAGGAACGCAAAGCATTTGCATTCACGAGGGAGACCACCGCATAGATGCCTGGCCTGTATCGCGTACACGTTTTGTGTCGTTGACGCGTATCTATGAAAAATTCCTCTTCTAACAATTTTGAACAGTTGTTCGTCGAAAGGAAATAATAGCGATAAAGCGAGCGAAAACGTGCTTCATGGTAATCTCGATTGGTAAAAGCAAATAACGAATTGTAAATAGATCTCGTTTCGTTGGCAACGTTACTCCTCTTCCCTTTAACAAACTTTTCGGTCGTAGAATATCATATGAGAGTTGGCGATCTACCGTATATTACATCGAATGGTAGATGCCTGTGAATACGTCGAAATACGATATTTCTTTTAAATTTCTGTTACGTACGATAGCTAGTGCTGTCTATGTGTATGTACAGCAGCGTGAAGAATTATTCAGATCAATTCAATTGAGATTTAATTAATTAATTTAATCGAGAAATCATTATCATTTACTTAGGTTGGAATATTTTTTCAAATTTCTACTCTCGTCCTTGTCGATCGATCTACGTGACTTCAAGCGATTCGAGTCTGTTGAGCGAGATTGTCATCTTATCTGATTATTAATGTCGTATTAGAAATGATTAATGTAAGCTTGTTATACCTAATTAGAAATTTGTGTTCTCAAGTTTCTAAATAAAATCCAACTGTTATTGCTTTCAGCTGTATCTTGACTAAAAAGAAAGAACTGTTGCTAGGTTATGTAATACCATCCCAGTTTCGTACTTGCCAATGTCGGTTCCCTAGATCGAGTCAATTTTTTCTGAACTTTGCGCTCGCAGTCATACTTCGTATACGTGATATTTTTATTAGACGTTACTAAGTCACCGCTACAATTTTATTTCATTTTATGCTGAGTTCAATTTGTATGTAATAAAACACTCTGTTACGCTGGCTCTGTGCTTATGACATCAACGCAAACTAGTTCCTTACCATCCTTCCGATGAACATAACCTATCCTTTCCGAAGGAGAAGAAATGGTATACTATTTCGTATTTTATGATCTCAGACACGATGTATCTCGTTTCTTATCATACTAATCGCAACATGTAAAAATCGAACATTTTTGAATAGTTTTATAGTTACGAGATACGGTGAACGATTAATCGCTATTACAAAATCGCCCAAGACTTCTACAGGATACTGTACGGAAACGTGATCGGCGGGAGTAAAATTGCTAGAGACTTAGTTCACGTGTGGTCTCTCGTGTAGCAAAGTTGAAACATATACACGACCCAAACGCACCCGAACCGTCTACGAGCTAAAGTGGGCGGCGTTATTCTTAGCGAGTAGGGATACGATGAACTTGCTTGCCCGAACCGTTTTGCTTGATTTTTTAACGGTCGCGTCACGAGAGCAACGAAGAGAAATATAAAGATAAAATATCGGCTACTGCAGCAGAAAGTTGCTGGAATGCGAACAAATGTAAGTAGACGAACTAACGCATGATACAATTTTAACAACAATTTCCGTCTGCTGTTTGTCTAGTTGTTATTAAAGGAATAGAAGGAGTGCAGAGGGAAGAAGAAGGAAAAGGAGGGGTGGATGATATCGAATAAAGCGTAGGAGCTAGTTGAAGCGTGAAACGGGAAAGAAAACCGACGAGTACGGCGCCGAACGAGATGGATAAGCTTACCAGAAACGGTGGGAACCGGCGAGTGAGGTAGAAAGAGAAAGAAAAGACAAGTGAATCTTCCTGGCGATGAATGGAACTAGAAAATATGAATGGTCTTGGTCAGCGTTTTCGAGCTACAGCGTCAACGAGATATCCGGTATATGAATGTGTACATATTGTCAACATTTCAAAATGTTTCAAACGTCGAATAATTTGTAAATGATGCGTTAACACGAAATGTTAATTTTGTTTATACATGGTTGATTTTTTTAAGATGGTCTCGAATAATTCGTAAATGACAAACGAATGCTTTGTCGGTATAACGATACGACGAGAAGACGAGACAAAACGACGAAGGACTTCGGTACATATTGTCAACTTTTTATAAGAAAAAAATATTAATAATAGCGTTACAAATGATGCTACGTTAAGACGTAAAATTTGTAGTACTACGTTCGACGAGTTAATATAAAATGTTACTAGACTATATGAATCGAAGCCAAAAAATACACTCACCGTTTGTTGTTGCTATAACTGGATTGTTCGTGGTGATTCAAATCTGGAACTAAATAAAAGATAAGATTAGTTGACGTATAAGAATAAAATACACGTATAGAAAGTTAAATTAAATACTAGATACATATATAAAAATATATATTCTACAAGCATACATTTCTTCATTTTCGATCAATCGAACGATCTGCAAGCGTTCCTTCGTTCGTTAATATCCTAGATAGAAAGAGTTCTTATATTAAACGCTATGATGACCGGATAGTTAGATATGAGAAAAATATAAGAACATGAAATCGAGCAGTAACGAGTGTATTTTGCGTAAAAGGTAAAAGAAAAGGTGACCGCAATACGAAAATAGGGTCGCTAGAAGACCGGAACGCCTTTCCTCCTTATTGCGTTCACTGTACAGCATTTCCGCAGGAAGTTGGTGCAGTGTCTGTGACGAGTTCGTTCGTTTTACTGGTTACCAACTTCTTACTAGTACGTTTATCCTTTTGACTATTATTTATAAACAAAGTATATCTTCTACTTATAAATAATCTATACTATATCGTATCTATACTATATCTTTTATAAATAAAGCAAGTCTTCTTATATAAAATATTCTAAATGATCTGTTTATAATACACTATTTACTTAAGGAAAGAGAAAGAAAAAGAAAAGAGGAATATTCTGTTCTGACATACTATCTTTATTCCACCTCTTCGAGTTAACTCAGGTAGTATGTTTTTTCTTCATTAACGATTCTTTTCATCTTGTCTTTCCTTTTCCTGCGATGGCACGGTTAAGGTGGTTACGGTTACGGTGGTTACGGTTACGGTTGACGCTATGCGGATACGGTTACGAAAATGAATAACTCTTTTTTCGCGACTGACCAGTCTTGTCACTGCACCAGCTTACATCAGAATCGTCAAACAGATTGCGAGGCAAGCGAAAGACTACAAAGAAAAAGCAAGAGAGAACAACCGTTCCTTTACTACTGGACAAGACTGTATCGTGGCCGGTAGCGAGTAAAAATATTGGTACAGGACAGTTCTCTTTCTCAAGTCTCGTGTAAATTTCTTTGAAGGATACGATCCTTCGCTAATCTTTTTTGTAAATTACCAACTTTTAATGGATTTGTGGTTTAATTTCTTTAGTACAGATTTTATGTTTTAGTCGTCGCTGCTGTTAAAAGGGAAAAATGCCGAAGGTTTCGAAGATGAGACTTAAGCTGAAACATGGAAATATCTAACATGGACCGTTGGACCGCGTAAAAAACGACGCTGGTTAAATATACACCACATCACCAAGGAGAAAAGGATGAGGGAGAGACTTTAGGGTGGGACTGCATTTGTACATGTTCATGTCGACTTTTCGAATAACCGCCCTCCTACTAAAATCTATTTTCGACGTGAATATCTGTGTTCTATAAATAAAGAATAAATACAAACTACTAGCGGAGGTGCTGTCACAGTCACGCGGACCAGACTAGCGAGATTAGGATGCAGATGTCGAACGTATGTTCCGTAATCATTAGAATCGTACGTGCACACATCTATGAGAGTACAAGCCTGTACATGCTACCGATCGATATCGTATCAATAAAATTCAATCAAATAAAAATCGAATTTAGACAAACGTCTTAACTAAACGATTATCGCGCATTGTTCAATGTAGCTAATGTTTAGCTGTTTATCCACTGTTATTTGTATTTGAAATATAAAATAATACGTTAAAAATAATTGTCGAGTAAGAAGGAATTGGCTGGTGTTAAAGCAGATGGAATAGAATGATTGTGCAAACGTAATGGTGGTCATCTGACCCAAATTATAATAGAAACTTATCGCAAGTAGTCCGAGCTACGTACAGTTTATTCATATCTCTTAGCATTTCTATTTGGAATGAAGATTATAGGAGGGAAAACATGACAAGTCAATATTTCTCAATTTTCTGACTGACCACTTGGTAACCAAAAGAGTGACTTATCGTTACTTGCATTGAAAAATCACTCGCCATGCGCGAAGACGTATTACGTTTAAAAAAACAGGCAACAAGTCCAAGAAATTTTACATAAAACCACAGAATAATTACACAATTACGATAGCCACAAATAATATGCAACTAGTTACAAGTGTATTGGACTTTAAAATTCCTCTGTGTAGCCTCCAAATATTAAGAAATCGTTAAATTAGAACATACTCGTTGGTGTCCGAAGTAGACGTAGCAGAATAATCGTGCAAACATAATGAAACGGTGTATGGTCGCAGAGTCTAACCGTTTTCATCCAACAGACTGTCTTCGAGTCGATAACCGAGAGAAGAAAAGCCTACGACAATGTACGGTGGCACGAGCCAAGTGGAGGGTTGGGGTTGCAACGCGTTTCACTCGGGTACCCACCATTCGTACACTCGCGTACGTTCGTATATTCGTTCAACGATGGTAAGCATTCGACTACACACTGCCAGGTGGTGACTGTCGTCCCATGTGTGCTCATATGTCTGCCCCCTGAGCCCTTACCTTCCCCTAGTGGGGTAAGTACCGACCCCTTGGAATACCAGGAGACACCAGAGGCACACGTTAGCGCCCCATCGTTTTCCTGCGTTCAACGCTCTAGTACCCGACTACACCTAATTGCTCCCGTTGTTCCTACCGTGGATCATATATTCTCTGTCTCACCCCTTCTCTTTCCATTTTCCTCATCCTTTCACTTCTCATCCATTTTCTTTCCTTTGGTGCAACCTCATTTTTTTGTCCTATTAAGAAAAATAACAATTATCCAAACTATAGAGAAAGCTAGTATATTTGTATTGTGTTTATATAAGCGCATATCTCAGCTTATCTATGCTCATTGCAACCGTAATACGTTATACATTATACACTTAAGCGCACGAGTTCTCTACGCTGTGGTAGCGTTCATACAACTTGTACAATTTCGTTGATGAGAAAAAATTCGACGGTTGACCAGTAGAAGTATCGATCGGTTAGCAAAAAAAACGACAGGAGATATATATAGGGCGCGGACTACCCTCGCCAACTGGATATCACCGAATCCGATTGTAATTTTTATAAATAGTCGCTCGATGAATATGAAATATTTCATTTTCCTAATATTCCTCTAACGTGTAGGCTCCTTCGATATTGATACTCTTTCTTTAAGCACACAATGGTATTTTGCTTCTATTTCTATTCTATTTAAATAATAGAATTATTTTACAATGAATAAAAGGATGAACAAATTGGATAGCCAAATACATAACAAGCGAATAAATAGAAGCTACTAAGAAATAAGTCACGAATGGACTGAAATGGAATGAAAGACTTATATATCGCTCGTTTACCACACAGGTGCAACCCATTGCACCATGACCGTCATCGAACCGTCAAGGTATCGAACTGGAACGTTTCGTACGTTTACAAAGTGACGCAAAATTATTGCAAAATTAAAGATTATCGCAAAACAATTTCCGGTAACATGAGATAATTTTGCTTATTAATCGTACATTCTTACTCACTCCTCTTCTCAACGACCTTCGATGAGTAACATACTTGAAAAGAGGGTAGCACAGGTAATAAGGGAAACCCCTACCTATGGTTGCTTGAAGATTTGAGAGAATTAGCAACGTGCTTTATTATCTGTGCTCGCATTGCCTTATGTGTACAATTGTTGTACAATTGATCCAATATTATTAGTGAAATGTGTACAAATATTTTGTAACAAATTACAAATTGACAGTATCAATAGATTCTCTCACATAATTAGAACATGTTTGATAATAAAACACATGAAAATTTACGATCAAATTTTACAAATTACAAATAATCCAATAATCTTATTTGACATACGGTTACAAAATTATAGCTTACTTCTATAGCCTACAACTTGTCACTTAACAATTCATTGATAGTATCAATTAGTGCACAAGTATTGCCCTGGTTGTTGCCCTTTTGTTTACTATACGATACTAATGAAAAAAGGAAACCTTAAAAACATAGCAAGTAAATAGAGGGGAAAAAAGACGGACTATACGTTAAATAGATATTTCTGATAACGTGTGTGATTATACAGGCGCGTGCATCAGCGCGTAATATATGATAAAGCACAAATGGCGATTAAACAAAGGTCACCGTTCAGGGAATAACACAGCTGCTAACGAAATACGTTTCACCGCGCTCTTGCTCTTCCGCATCGCGAGTAGCGATAAACGTCTGTTTCCAACGTTCCGAACTGTCTCAAACGCTAACGCATCTTTACCATAACTACGGAACGAACAATAAAAGCAAATGTCAAATTAAAATATTCGAATAGATATCAAGTCGATGAAGAAGAAAAAAAGTGGAGCGGAGAAGCAAAAAAAGATTATAGGAAGGGGAAAACGACGTGGACGTATGGAGTGAAAGAAATTAAAGAAGGAGGGGAAAGAAGAGAGAAAATGACGAAGAGATGGTAAAGGGCTTCGAGAATCTATAAGGGCCTATAAGGTGTGACGGGTATCTCAGGTTTTTGTATTCTCGAGGGTTTCGGTGTATTAGCATTTCTCGTGGAGCCGGTAAGGCAGGTCTTGCAATCTGAACCTCCAAGTTTTGATCGGCAACCTTTAACGGTTATAAACCGAATTACTAATCAGACTTTTTTTGTCAACCCAAACAGCTTTCCTTCTGATCAAAGAAGTCAGTCATTTAGTATTGGTTCAGCATTAGTCCTACCGGACGAATTTTTATTTCAAAATAAACGGAAAAATAAATGTATATGAGAACATTACTTATGTATTGAAACAATCATTGCAAATTGCTCTGCATTAATTCGCTGTTTGCACAAAATAACGTATTTATTCCGTTATTCTCGTTCCAACGTGAATAGCTTATTTCATATCCCCACCACGTTCCTCTTTACCCCCACTCCATCCCACCTTAATCACACTCCCCTCCACTTGCAGTTTTCTCTACACAACTTCAACATTTTTTTATTGTCGATAATTAACCAAATATGAGTAACTTATGAAGCGGAAACGAAACTTAACTCATAATTGCTATGGTGGTCATTTTTGTAAATAGAAATGTTTAGAAACTTATAAAAAGTAGTATTGCAGGTAATTCGGGTAATACATCGCTATATAGTCGTTAAGTAATACGTTAATTAACTACGTAGTGCTAGGAGAGGGTATTTTCCAAATTATCGTGAAAATGAAAATTACTACGGTTTTATAGCTCCCAGCTTATTAATTACGCGTTAGAAACACGCGTATACGAAAAATTATTCTTTACACGAATCTGGTAACTAAAATATGCCGATGTATTTTTTGAGACACTGTACTGTTGTAGTTTTGCAAGTATTCATTTTGCTTACCTACTACATTCTCATCGATTACATTGTTCTTGCAATTCGAATAACTGCGCGATGAGAGCGCGGAGTTCATCAAGCTACGAATAATTCCGGAAATCGGTGACACGAATGTTGCTGTTTGCTCTTGACGTTTGTCCGGTGAACATTCGTCTATTTCAGTAATGCAGGATAATACAGACACGCGTTTACAACCAGACATCGTATCTCTTGTGCGTCCAATTTTTTCAACACTTTCAATGCGTCTAAACCAATAGGTTTTACGTGCCCTTACAAGGACTACGAATCAAAAATAATCTGCAAATGGAAATATAGAAGAGATGTATATAGAATCTACGTGAGAATTTGAAGAAATACGAATTTAATGATAAAATGATAAATAATGAAGGGCGAAGAACGAACTCAATATTATATTCTAAATGTTAACATTATTAAATTACATATAATATAATATAATATCATTAAAGCGAAATATTTTTTAATTATTTACTTTGTTCTCTCAGTCTAAATAGCTATCCAATCAAACTTTCGAATAAAAACTGTTTTACGAGTTAATGTGCAGTATCTTGTGAATCTTTCTTATACTTAACCTGCAATTAGAATTAGAAGCAATTAATTATACGTTTATCTCTTATAAGTCGTAAATGTCAAATCTGCCCGATATCAACAATAAAAGGTTTCAGTATCTTACTTTTTACCTCTTTAATAACACACGTATGAGCCTAATTATTCAATCTCGAACGCATCGAAAAACACTTTGACAATAAAAGATTTGAACAGAGCAACGCACGTGTTCCCCTTGCTTACTTCGTCGATACTTTAAATACGTATAATATAATAGAGAATATAATATTAAATTTCACTAATTATATATAACTCTTTTGTATTATATTGCAATTATTTGATACACGGAACGAATTATAAAAGATAAAATCTTCAAAAAGTAAAAGCTAGAAGTAAGAAATTTTGAGAAATTTCGTAATAGTAAAATAGTTTTCACACTATCGATACAAAATGTGTTCCATTGTATTTTTAATTTAATAGTTTAATTATTTTTATATACACGCTACATTATATCTCATTTATAATCATTGAATGACAGAGAATCGTCTTTGAACAGTAACAGAACGAATGGAACAAAGGATAAGAATCGGATAGCGTATTTACACTGTGTAGGGTTAGGTAATAATAACATTAAATAATTTAAGATGATTTCTTATTATCTTTTATAGGACGAAACATTTTGCTTTAATAGTAACTAAGTAATATTTAAGGGAAATAAAATAATCTGTAAATATATCTTTAAATTAATCTTTCAGTTACTTACCTTTCTTTGATCAGACTTTATTTACAAGACTTTTGTACAAAAGTTTCCAACTTGAAATATTGAAAAATCAAGTTCTTTACACTTTGTACTAATTAACTGTAACGATTCTCTTTTAACATGGTAGAACAACATATCAAAAACTAACGTCAGATACATACATAATTTCGCTGGTCGAAACACGATAATCAAATCGAACTTCGTTGACTCGTATATCGAGCTAAACAAACTGACAATGATGACAAGCCCGCGTAAATATATTATCATTGCATATAACGCCACCTACAAAAGCGCAAGGAAATAAATCAAGAAATCAAAAGTACAAAGGAGACAGAAAACCGTTGAACACATGTTCCTATGTGCGCCGAACATAAATTTACATGACTATGAAAATTTTCCTCCGCTATTTGTATCGGAATAAATATCGAATTAACACAGAAACAAAAGAAACGCTTCTATAAAACAAAGTTTATATAATTTATTTAATGTGCATAAAATCTCAAATATTTTTTCCATCGTTTACGTATAACAATATTCATTCGCTATAAATTACAATAATAAAATATATGTCCTGTATAACCAGGAGAGTAACAGCTGTACTGTAAAAACATCATAAATAAGTTTAGACTAAAATTTTTTTATGATTAAAAATACGTTGTGAATATCGTTAGAATAAAGGCATCTTTGAGGATCGGGCACCTTACCACCGATCGAGGCAAAGTGGTATGATACAAGATCGTAATCGTAATGGTAATAAGTTCTGAATAATACTACAAATACAAACTTTTTCGCCTTATTACCATTTTGCCTCAAATATGTAGCAATGCATATGATACATACAAAATTGATTAGAAAGCACTTTCGCTCATTTTGTGGTATATTTTATGTATTCTAGATACAAAAATATGTGAATGTCGTTTCCCTAATGCGATACGTTATAAAATATTTTTCCGAGTAAATTCGGTTGGACTTAAAGAAACGGCACAATTTGACTTTGGTAAAGATTTCGAAGACATGATATACCCACTTTTTGTTGCGCATGTTACAAGATTTTTTGGCTTCGGCGGAAGGGGTGGAGGTTTCGATGATTTCATTACACTTAACGAGTTGACTTGAGTATCGAAAGAATCCAAAGCAGTATTTCGGGAGCAAGATCCATTCTCTACAACGGTCCGATCTCCGTCCGTCAAAGTTGTATCTAATATGAACGAACTATCTGATGACTTACTCTGCAATTCCTTTCCAGTAGCCAATACATGGAATCGTTTATCAAGATCTCCATTCTTTGCTGAAGCCAATGTCGTCGTTGCGGTTGATGTTGTTGTTATAGGTGTTGCTGTTGTTGTCGTATTTTGATCATGTCCGCCACAGTTTTGCCGTTCGTGAATCGAACTGTAAAACTTGGCATTTGCTTCGCAATTGGTAGATATTATCCTAGGTCTTCGAACTTTGTTGCGATCCGTCGGCTTACCATTTTCCTTGTTCTGATCAGTAATTTCATAGCTTTAAGGGTCGAAACGCAACGCATAATAAAAATTTCAAAAATGAAATGTATTTAAAAACGTTACTACGATAACTGACAATATGCTTTATGAAAATGTTTGGTACCATTAAAAAAATACGCATTATTATACCCCAGAGCATATAAGTTTCGTTTTTTGTTTACCTTTAAAAAGTCTGGCAATTCAAAATTGATCTCTGTGCCTCTCTGATCTTCTAATCTAGATCTTTGTGCCCGTTTTAAACCTTCGTATAAATCTATAAATATAAATATAAATATTATCCTATACTTGGATAAAGATATTTCTAATTTTATTATTAGCAATACCATTCTCGTACTATGATATATAATTTACCTTCGCCGTCGAATTTTCCCGGTAATTGCAGTTTTACTCCGTTCCGCCATTTTGCTATTAAAGGAGGATGAGATTTGGCAGTTTCTTCGGAGACATAATCGTTCGCATTGCTTTTTTCGTTCATATTACATTTAGGCTTCCCTCCCTTTAACATTAAAATATATGGATATATAAAAATCGATCTTCCAAAGCAACATGTACACTGAATGTAAGTAGACATATAAAATAACAGACATCTGCCATACCTTCTTTTTTCCATGCATTGTAGAATCTCGAAGAAAAAATTTACTCGGCAAGATAGAGGAACCCTCAGAACGTTGATCGTCGGACTATATCCCAGAAAATAAAATAACCCATAAATAAAAAAGCAATTAATTTTTTCAGATAATTATTTAGATAAATAAAACATTTCTTACCTTACATGAACCATCATTGTAGTGATATTTACTCGCGCCTTTGCCCACCAAAAGCTCTTCAAATACTCTATTTGTGATTTCGTCTAGAGTGGATTGAGAATTTGATCCATCATGAGTGTATTTAACTGTGTTTAATTCTTTCTGTGGATCTACAAAAATGTTTCCCCTCAAATTATTACAACAGTTAATGTTTTACCAATTTCTTGTAGCTTATTATATCCTAACATTTTTATTACCTTGATCCTTTATGTTGGTCAAAATTAGCCTCGCAGGAGCATCAATAGCCTGTACATCCGTACAAACACGGTGGTTTTCACTCCATACAGTAATAGTTTCTAAATTAAAACCATACTTATTTAGAAGTGGCCTTAGTACATCTTTAAGAGTTCTGCCTTTATGTGCAATCACAGTTATCACTCGACGGGAAGGTAGATCGACTTTCAGTATTTTCGTTGGTACAACTTCCACTTCTTGACCAGCCAGTACCGATGATGGATATTTTGTATCTATAGTCTGAAAACACAAGAAATTTTTTATCATTTTCAAATATTAATACTGTATAGGTAATAACAAGTACAACGAATATTCGTTTCGATTGGACTGTTTATACTAGATTATAAATTATACGTGTACGGCATACATAAAATACGTATAAGTTTAATGCAAATGTGCCCAACTACAAAAGCTACACCAGAAATGCATGCGTAACAATTCTCATAAAACAACAATCTCCTACAATCGTTATACCATTCAACCTTATCATTTCATTCAATCAGACTATGTGCAAGAAAGAAGCGTGTCCCATACATGTTTAACATCAACAAATTATTTTATTAGTTTCGAGCGATAATTTTAAAAGGTGCATTAAATAAATACAAGAGATCACAAACCTCATCTGTAGCAAGGATTAGAACGTCATAGTTAGAATATCGAAGAGCTCTTTTATCAAGGAGGCGTGTAACCACATCTTTAATACTCTCCATTTGGCTAGTTGGCACAACCGTAGTCGATCCATCGGGTAATATTACCCGACATAACCCGGTACATTTGGCACGAACTTCTTTCGTTTCATTCGACTGTCCTTCGTAGGACGATAAAGACTACAAGTTATACATACAACTTTTGTAGATTCGAAATTAAATGTGTGCTTAATAACACTAACATTAGCTTTCAACAAACATCTGCGCATAGTTGCAATACCAAAATATCTACTACACACTTGCATTACAAGTAAAACTAACACATACAATGGTTATACTTGCCTTCGATACAATTGCTTTACCAAACAAAATAGTTTCTAAGTTTATTTTTAATTACAATGTACAATGTAAGAGAAAAAGAAAGAATACTTACATGTTTGTGGAATGATTGTCTTAATGCCAAATCCCATGATGCTAATGAAGACCTGCTGCTAGATATAGAAATACTGTCGTCGTTGTTATTACCTTCTGCTTCTCTTTTCATAGTTGTAAAGCTCTTATATATGGTCTCATTTCTATTAGGGCCTTTATTATATTCAGATTCCCCACGATCTTTTGATTTAGATCTAAAAAGACATTACTATGACGAATATACACTGATAACATTTGTTTTCAATTAGTATTTATTAAATACTATTTATTATCAGTACCTGTTTTTTCTATTCCATGGAAGAATAGATTTTCTACATCGATCTTCTGCATCTGAGTGACTCTTCTTTAGCTTTACACTAGGAGAACTGGTAAGATTTAAATCACAATCTTCTACTCCAGTTATGGAATTTCCTGTTTCTACACAACGACGATATAAATCAGATCTTAAAAATCTCGGATAACTATCAAACTTCATTAGATTAAAAACCTGTTTTTGAGCCTGAAAATAAAATACAAACTAACGATTTCTATTAATACAGAACAACTAATATAATGTTAATAATAGTAATAAACACAATTGCAGAATTGAACAGAAGAATAAAAAAACATGTCATGAACACCTGTAAGAAAAGGTCAGCAGGTGCTTCACTAAGAAGTTCTTGCGTTATTTGGCCAGTTGCATGGCTATCAACGTTTACAGGTTCAGCTGCTGTAGTGGACAAATGACGTTGGTAAATTTGATTTGCCAACTTACGTCTTGTAGTAACATCTTTAGTATCTTTGTATCTCTCACAAGCAGCCCAAAAGTAGATATTTTCATGGCTAAATTCTTTTTTTAGAAACTCCTAAATTATGAAAAGAAAAAAGGTATTAGAAAAATATGCAATATGTATTTATTTAGTGAAAATAAAATTTCATTCTTACCGCAAATGTTTGTAAACCTTTTGGATCTTCTAGTAATTTTTCAAAACCATTGGCCCATGCATGTATGTTTTTACAATCGGTATTCTTATCGCATAATTGTGTACTACCGTGCTGTGTGAAAGAAGCATTAAAAAAAATTATATTTTATTGATAACGTCGTTAAATGGGATTAAACGAGTCATAGGGGAAACGATCAAGCGCGTGCGCCTTCAGCCTTATACGAACGTTACGAATATTACGATTATTATATACGAATATTGCAAACATAACAAATATTACAAATATTGGTTAAGAATAAATCAAGGAACAAAAAGAATGGTATGCAATCACTAACTTTATACGGTCTTTAATAATTGTTATTATATAACATTTAATTTACTTGTCAATAGAACTTCATGGTCTTTTATACATTAACTCCAATTCGTATAATAGTCCGTCTAATCCATTGTACTACAGCTATAATTAAGCAACTGTATATAAGTCGTTTTAAGAACTTTAAATATTTATAATTATAAATTCAAAATTAAAAAAGAGAGAGAACTACTAAAACAAGAAAAGCTAACATAAAAACGAAAAATACTTATAATTCTACGTAATAATAAATAATTCTTAATACATCTATTTCCTCCCTGTTTCGTAACATTCCCGACAACAAAAATATATAACCATAAATATCTGAGTCACTTATTTAATATATATCAATCGTTGATAAGATTTGAACAAGTACATCATAATCACAAATAATTGAAATAGAATTAAGGAAAATATAATTATAAAAAGATTTAAGAGGGCGCGAAAACATAATTAATTTCAATTATTAGAACGATAACAATACGTATCGGTGTAACAGTATAACGTATCGACGTAACATATCGATTTGACGTTGTCGACTATTGATCATAGATCAAATCATTAAAATTTCATTTTCTGTCCTGATTTATAAAATAACAATAGCGAGAATGCTCTTCGATTTCACTTTGTCACTTCTTTAATGTAAACAACTGATTAACTTTGAAAAAATAAAGAACGTCGAACTAGAATCCATTAGATGATCTCCTAGTAATTCCATAAAATATTGACCGTGTCGTACATACCGATTTCACCACGGTATCCATGTCGTGATCGAAGATCGTATTCCTTCGTGTACACACGTAACGATCCCATTTATCGAGGGAAAAATAAAAATACTTATATAAACATAATACAGTCAAGGAAATAATTTTCTTTGGTATTAACTATCAAAACAAGATTGTGGTATGCTCGTAATAATAAGGGCTCCGCCCAACTGCAGCGATGCACCCGTTGACAATTATGATTCCGCACACGGTGTCTGTTCAACTCAATGGTCAGCCGAACACGACGTATACCGACAGAACCGACACGATCGACCGATCGATTTCTTACAATCGAACCGATAATTTACACGAACGATTATTCAATTAATTTTTCTAAATAATTAATTCAACCATGATTCTATAGTAATCAACATTGTAACTATTGCACGACAGCGTCACGTTCATTTTGTGTGTAACATGTCACTCTCATGTGCACTACCGCTACGGGTATATTCGCTCGTACTTCATTTCCTTCTCTTTCTCTTTCCCTCTCCTTTCCAAGTTCCAAGCTCAGTCGGTCGGTCGGTTTATCCGTCGGTACCTTCATTTATTCATACTAAATATATTTTCTTTGCTACTTCTATCTAGTTATTCGATTTCTTTCGTGAAATTATTTTCGTTATTTCATCCAAAAATTGTAAAACTATCGAACCGAAATATGATACTCTAATTCCCACCATTCTCTCTTTTTCTCTTCTTCTTTCGCTCACTCACTCGCTCACACATACTCTCACACTCGTGCATTATCTCGCTCACTTATTCATAGAACTCACTCATTTACTCGTGCTTCCCCTCTGTTCTCATATTTCTTTTTCCTTATTTGCAATTTCAGGCATTATTCTTTCATTTAATACAAATATTTAAATTTTGTCTTCCTTTTTCATTATATTTGTATCCCATTTATTGCAATAATCTCAAATTGTAAATTGATAACTCATTTAAGAACCAATTAATCTTCCGTGTATAACGTGAGACGTTTATGCCCCCAATGAGAACAATATCGGACCCGGTATTTGAGATAAATATTCCATTTTGAAACTTATTGGATATTGTAATAGAAATGTTATAATAAGTATCCATTAACTTTCTTAGATTTTTTGAAAACCCGAAACAGGTCCCAAACAAGATCTGATCCTGAATCTCCCACATTGTAGACCGCGTTAGCAAAAGTAAATATTGGAAATAATAAATATAAATCTTACCAGACAGATATTCTGCGCACAGGTCCCAACGTTTCTAATTTCTTGCAAGCTTCCCCAAGGACGCGAATTATCCGATTTATCTGAATAAGTTTGGCACAGTGGTCGAACGTAATCCATGCTTGTATTAAGGTCTTCAAAACTATGCACTAAAGATTTGGAAATACCAGAAAAAACTTTCGGGCTAAACTTGTCTGGTACGTCGATTTCTTTTGATTCCGCTAGTCTCGTAAGTCCCAACAATTGCGATTGCGACTTAATTGCGGCATCACCGGGCGTCTCAACAGGATCTTTTAAACCGTGCAGCATTGCGGTGGTGCAAACGGACACAAGAGAGCCAACGGACGAACTAAGCAACCCCTGCTTAACTGTTGAAGCAGATGGCAATGGACAGGTGGGCAAGTCCCCCCTCTTCGTTCCCTTTTGTATGTCGGAATTCATGTCGGAATTTTCTATCGTTTCCGAACACGTACTTATGCCATTGCAAAAATCATTAAACATCACACTTTCACGAGGCAATTCCAGACTATCTTTGCTCAATTTATTTGTTTCGTTCCAGCATGTTTTCGATACAGCTCGTACCGTTAATCTCAAATCTACAGCTTCGTTACCGTATGATCTTGACGAATATTCACACGCATCCTAAACATATATCATGTTAATTAGAAGCAGATCTTTATTTATTAAGTAAAATGAAAACTGTTCAATTTAGAATAGTTATGAAAATAGTTTAAACTATCATATATTTTAAGTATTTTTTTTTATAACCATAATGGATTGAATAATACCCATATTACAATCATTAAAATTTCTTTAGAACTCAGATAGATAAAATGACAAAATGTAACAGGTGTATCCATGAAAAATTTTATATTTTAAATAACAAAAAAAGGACTACATACATTTCAATATATATTTACTGACTAAGTAACAAATATTATAGAATAGTGTTATTACAATGTAAATCCTACAATCCATTTAATATTAACTGAGTTAACTACTATGAGCATTTTAATCAACATACCCTATATTCCAAAGTTGGACATCTTCTTCGGGGAATATTTTGTACGATATTTTTATCTGATCGACTTGTACAATCATCCTTATAGCCAATTCCGGAATCACTATTACTCGAATGAGCTGTTGATGTACTTATATTGCTTGGTTGCGGAGAAGCAGTTTCTTGATGTCTCCTCATTTCATTATATGGATTTGTGTCAGTAGCTGTTGAATCTGATATGTACAAAGTTTGTATAGCACCAATCAAACCATTGCAACTGTCTGGAAATTCCTGACATACATTTAGTTCAGAAGTTTTGGTGCATGTAAAACCAAATATATTGCACACACTAGAATGTACTATATGATCAATTAATTTATAGTATATTGTAAAAACATGGCAGGAATTGGAAACAATATTTTCTTTATCTTTAACAGATTTAGTTAATATCCCAAAATATTGTTTATCTTGTTCAGAAAAGGAATTACAAAATATTATTCTATAGGACGGATATTCTGCTATAACACGATTTTCTGAATTGGTGAGTTTTATATTTGCTACATGTATTGTTAACAATACTGTGGTTGGATTTCTTTTCTCAGCTTTCAACCGTTTGATGCATTTTCTCAATACCTAGAAGAATAAATATGAATTAGTAAAATCATATTAGATCAAATTCAAGGATAACTTAGTGTTTATATAGAATTAAGAGATAGTAATGATAGTGTTATCAAAATTACCTGCATCATACAAGACGGATGCAATTGATTTGGAATATCTATAGTTCCGAGGTAACCAACAACTGTTCTATGCACTATTTTCTCAGAATCTCTTTTATGAGATGCTGGCGGTGGTGGTGGTGGAAGAGGACTAGACATATCCCAGTGATAATGTAAATTACAGTAAGTTCCATGGTTTTGCAATTCAGGTGGTGTTTTTCCTGCTACATCAAACATAGCACCACTTTGTAAATCTCGCACAACTTTGGCAACTCTACATTGTAATTGTAGCGCTCCCATATTACTTGCACGAGGTTTATGAATATATTTGGGCTTGCAGCGTACTGCTGTTACTCCTTCTTCGTCAGAGGAATCAGAATAATAATTTTCAGCTATTTGCAACTTTAAAATACCCTTTGAACGACCAATTAATTGCACAACATCGTCATGGGGCAGTTTGCTAACATTGTGACCATTAACAGATACTAAATAATCGCCGGCTCGTAATCCAGCGATATCCGCTGGACTTCCTGGAACGATGCAGCTCAATATGCAAGGTTGTTGTCCCGAGATCGTAAAGCCAAATCCCTTCATTCCACGCAATACCTCGACTGCCCTTACACCGTAATTCACTCGCTTTTTCTTTTTTCTGTTTTGGTGCATTCTTAGATTTTCTTTTCATCAATTCATACAAGTTTCAATTTATCTTTCTAATTTGTCAATCAAAGACTATCGTTCACCTAACACTTTCACGATCCAAAAAAACTCCCGAATCATCTTTCCCTAAATTCCATCAGTTTCTTTTAATTCTTTCAAAGAATAAGTGAAAATATGAAAGTTGAATTATTTTTTTATTCTATCACTTGATCGACTCTAACTAATCATCTATAGAGGATCTATAATCAATTTCTATTTGAAATCGGTTTTCGACCGTTTACGCTTGCGGTTCGTGACGGCGTTCTTTCTGCGCTTTTGCACCTCTTTCTCTCACACTCTATTACTTACTGCATCACTAAACTTTAAAACAGAATTTTTCAAAATTTTTTTACTTGTGTATGTAGCATCCTATCTTTGTTATTACCATTGAAATATGTACTAGTATTTATCTCATACATCTAAACACACGAACAACTATAAAATGTTTTGGCAATCTCATTATTCTTTTTCTTTTACTTCTATCCTTTCACTCCCTCCACTTTTCTTTCATTTACATCATTGTTTGTACCTATATTCATCGATCCATACACTTCCGGTATACAAATGCACATTCTACTGGAAATTTCATAACGAAACACTTTCTTTCTTCGTATGGAATCCTATTTTCGTACAACAAAAATTCTAGTGGTGGTAAAACCTTGTATGCCTCCCAAGTAATTTTATAGCGTTTTCTTTCCACTTTTATATGCCGATAATAAAAATAAAAAACTGTTATGCAAAGTGAAATAAACTTTCTTCATTATTCATTTTTTTTCTTTAAATTCAATTCCATTTCGTCATGTGTGACCCATTCAATTTACATACTCATTCATGTATATGTGAATGTATGTGATAGTAAAAAATTAACCGAGTACACGCGTACTAGACAAATTTTCAAATTCGATTTTCTCGAAAATGAGCCTTTAGAGGCTCAAAAAATTGTATTCTACATTCTCGACTTAATTTTGCATGTGGAATAACCTCTTATCGATTATCTACTTCTGTCTAGCCATGAATTAAGCAAACGTAGGTATACTTCGCAAATTTTTAAACTTGATTCGAAAAGAAATTTCTAACGCAATTTTACTTTTTATATTCGTTTTATTTTGAGCCATAGAATCTCCCTGGCCCCATTTGCACCATAAATTACGGAGTCACCTTGTATTTTTGAAAAACGTATATAAAATAAATTGTGATTGATGTCAGTTAAAAAATTTATTTCGCTAAATTTTAAATGTTTTATGAAAGCTCATATTAATTTTAATAATTATATTCTAAATTTGTCTACCTTTTTATTTAATTTTACGTTTGACTGGTGTATAAATATATTTTTGATCACTTTTATTGCAACGATTGAAAATGTATTTTACGTATAGTTTTTGGAAGGCTAGAAAAGTGTTTTTAATCAAATATTATATGTAAAGGAATTGTATGAATTCATTTTAGAAAATGTTAAAAACGTAATAGGCAGTTTTAAATTGTATGCATACATATGTATGTATGTTACATGTGTATAAAGTTTCCTAACCACTAAATTCTAATTCATTTCAATGAGTTGTACTTGCGTGCCAGCTTTATTTGTGAAGTGATACATTTTTTAGGCTACATTATTATAAACTGTAATTCAAGTAATCATTTTTCTATACCTATTAATTTGAGATATCGATTATTTTTAAATGTAATTAATATTCTATAAAAAATATTCTAATGTTACAGATATTAGGTTAGTGAAAAGCTACACTATGGAATCTGATGAAATTACATGGAATATAGTACCAAATACAGTCGCAAACAGAATGATAGATTTCTCTTTGTTACATAAACTGGTACCATGTAGAAGATTACGTCGCAAAAATAAAGCTATGAATGCTGCAATTAAACAGTATCAAAGCATAAAGACATATAGCCAATATATTAAAATGAAGACTTCAGTTCTTCGAAATGTGACAGATGACAGTGAAACAGATTGCAATGACACTTTCACTGAGGATGATTATAGTATTTTATACAAATCTAATGTATCATTATCAAATTATATAAAAGAGACGTTAGAAAAGAATAGAAGATATTCTTGTGAAATAGAATCTGTGACTAATGAAGATGATTTTATATCTAATGTAAAACCTAAAGAAACAGTCATAAAAAGACCTAAAAGTACATCACCTATAAATTTAGGATGGCGAAATGTTGTTAAGAGAAAATCTCAAAAAGCTCTTTCTTTGAAAAAAAGGATAGATGCAAATAAATTCACATGTGATAATGATGGTACTAAAGAAGCTTTTTCTGTAATGACTGATAATGTTCAAAGTAATATACAAAGTAAGACAAACACACCTCATAAATATTTTATAGATTGTATTAAAGAGAATGTTTTAAATTTAGACGATCAAGTGTCAGTGAAAGATGAAATAAATACTGCTACTGTTGAAGATGTATGTGACACAACTTCAGATTCAACTGAAATAACATGCAATGCAACTACAGTAGAAAAAGTAACAAATAATAATGATAAATTAGAACAATCAGATCCTACAGTGAATAATATCAGTAAAGAATTCCAATCAGATAAAAATTATTGTTATAAAATGCTTGGAAGTCCTAACACAAAAACACAGAAAAGGCTGTCATTTTCATTATATAACGTTAATGAAATTTGGGATACTAATTGTAAAAATATGTCTGTGGATCGAAATTGTCCTAATCAGGCAGAAAAAGACCTAAATATTACAGAAACATTTATGAACATGCCCTCGGTTATTGGTAACACATACCAACTAAAAGACTCGGGTATCGATGAAGATACAGAGGAAGAAAATTTAGAACATGGAGAAGAGCATTATAAGAAATTTAAAAATAGGACTCAAAAAGAAGAAAAAGAAGATACATCAAATACTTCTTCCATAGTAAACTCTTCTAAAAATAATTTAATAGACGATGATGATAACTTGAAATCTAATACTTCTAAAGATACAATATTACTTGCAAATGAAAATATAGATACAAATCAGGTAAAATGCAAACAAAAGATACAAACAGATAAATTGCAACCCAAAGTTACTCATACAGAAATTGTTAATAAAAAGTATAAAATAATGTGTGATATATCTGTGCTTAATGAAAATATTGAATCAGAAGAATTAAGCGTAAATGATTTTTGTGATGAAAAATCTGAGGTAAAGGAAATGAAGTTGATAATGAAAGACAGTACTTCTCCAATAACTGAAAAACGATATCAACAATTAAGGAGATTAAATTTAGTAGACAGTGACTCTAGTATCAGTGAGAATGATGATAGAAATTACAATGTTGAAAATATGAGAGACAAGCTATTCAAACGTTCCTCAGAATTTTCTGATGTATTAGGTAATGAAAATGATAACGTACATCCTAACCATGAAAATTCAATCCAACTTTATACAAAATTACAAAAAAATGAAGACTTTTCAGAACAGACTATCTATTGCTTGGATGATGAAGATAATATTTTGAAACAATGTTCAAACACCAATGAAGATTCATCTCTAGATACTAAACAACTATCATTTGCTGGTAATAAATCTGTTCAACATAAATCAGATTTAAGCTATGCAATAAGTCGTAATTTTGACAAAGAAAAGCATACGAAAGCATCAAGTGAAAAGGACTTAAAAATTGAAGATATGATGCAATGTGGGAAAAAGGAATCAATATGTAGACCATACAATGTATAAATAAGAATTTTGTTTTTTCTATTTTCTCTTATATTACCTTTATATTTTGTTAATCTTTTCTTATCCTTCGCCCTCTTAAAGTTACAGGAATTTATAGAGAAGGAAAATTTATTGGTTGAAACAACAAAGCCTTCCTTTACACTCAAAGATGTAGAAGTAGATGATGAAGTCTTTATTATAGACATTCCATCTAAGGTATGATATATGTCATGATATAATTGCTCAATCCAATATGTAGTATATTATTGAAAAAATTATATTTTGTTGTATCTAGCTACTTGAAAATCAGTTACTGCAAAGTAAAATAGCTTTCACAGAAAAAACATTGAAACTTGGAAAACAAAAGTATAGAGTTGAATATAAAAATATAGATAATGTATCTTGCTTTCTTGGTACTAGAAAAAGAAAGAAACCTTACAAAATAGGTATGTAATGAGTAAATTGATAAATACTTAAATTAATGTTATTAAAAAAATATGCTTCTTTTATTAATTGGTTCTCTTCTCTTTTCAGTAAACATTAAACCAATAGCAAGAATCGTAGTACGAGAAAAAGTTACAAAAGACTCTCATGCAGAATTCTCAGATCAGTATTCTAATCACAATATTGATTCTTCTGATGAAATCAAAGATGAGATAATCTCAAAAAAGAGACACTCCCAAACAGAGCAAGATCTATCACTCAAAAAAAGGTGTTTAAATATTGATGAATAAAATATTTTATATAAATAACGTACATGTAGAAAATTACGAGTTTCTGTAATTTTTAGATAAATTAAACAATTTATATGTTGAAGTAATATTTTAGAAAGGACAGAATTTATGTTGCGATATGCAGTTCATAGAATGTATAAATATCGGACAATAGCAATACATGATTGTTTTTATACGTATAAATGTAACAAGAATTTTATAAATATGTGCACTTTTATTTTTTACCAAGCATTTACTTTTATACTTGTATTTTATGCTATAAATATAAATATGGTATTTAAATTCCAAAACACCTTTTAGTGTATGACTAAGAGCATTAAATGAGTAAAAGGAGTATTACACACAGATTCTAATATTAATGTTTTTATTTAACTTTATAAATGAAACTGACTTAAATTTACGAAGTTTCCATGGCTGCAGTTGAGTCTTCGGTATATTTTCCTTTATCCTTGCCTAATGCTGCAAGCCTACCTTTACTCCTCCTGTCAATAATCTTCTTACGATCCTTGTCCATCTTTAATTTTACAATCACTGTCTGTAAATCACAAAAGATATAAATTAGAAAAAAGTAAATATTTTTTAACCAGAAAAAAAAAGGTGAATTTTATAATATCAGTGCCAACTTTTCTGCAGTAAAAAAGCTAAACAAGTCAAATTCATAGACATAAAGGAGAACCCTTATATATCAACGAAACCAACAAGCTTTGTGCTTTAATCTACGTGAATGGTTTAGTTCATCATTTATCAAAATTTAATAATACATATATACCAAAACACAATACAAAAAATAGCTTACCTTGGATGGGTCGATACCAACATATACATTAGCAGTGTTAGCTTTTTCACGTTGAATTCTTTCTATGTATATAACAAACTTTTTCCTGTACACTTGAACAACTTTTCCAACTTGTTGGCCTTTATAATGGCCACGAACAACCTTTAGGCAATAAATAAACAAAAATGTTTAATGAATGAGGTTTTATAAAATAATTACTTATTTTTAATATGTTTTATCACATTTAATATAAACACTTTTCAATCTTCAAACGATTTATAAAATATTACCCTACCTGAACTTCATCATCTTTACGAATTGGCATAGAACGAACGTTATATTTTTGCCGAAGTTCTTTGGAAAGAGGAGCTGACATAAGTCTCCTCCGAACGTGAGAAGGTGCCGTGAAATGCCTCTTTCGGTTTTTTCGGCGTGAAGAAGAAACAAGTTTATTGAATTTCATTGTTGTTGGTTACCTGTGCATGCAAAATATAACTCTGTATTAATTATAATAAAGTACAATTATGATAGCTCGTAGTAAAATAATGTGGTATGTTGAATGTAAATAACAAACAGTTATAGGTTAGTTACTGTCACTATTTCAACTACAATTATTATTCGTTTTCAAAACCTAAAGATATTCATATTTATATATTAGAGAAAGAGTAACATGATTTTAATATAAAATTTCTGCCGAGATTATTTTTTTAAGTACGATTGAAATCGATTTTGATTTCAATGAACTTACCGACAACAGCCCAATTCAGTAGCCCCAACCGGAAGAACGCTTGCTCGGCACGAAAGAAATACAAATTTATCTATATAATCTAGTGAAAATCTATCTCACTCCCAGTTCACACATAGTAACATTGTTGTAAATTCGTCTTAAAGTTTTAACATATTTATGGTTCTATAAGATATCAAATATTGTTGTGAACTGGTGTAGGCCTGTGGCTCCCTTTAGCGTGAATATCTTGTATGACAATAAGGTAAATTCTAGCACCGCGAATTTAACTGTACAGCAGCGTAGCTGAGGTAACGAACAAAAGTTATTTAATAAATTAATAAATTTGTCTATCAATAGACTAAATGTCAAAATTATTTATCAGTAACAACTATAATCACTTTCAAATTTCGTATCTATCTTTCATAGATATCTTTTGTTACCATGGAAAAGAATATTTCCAAGGCATAAATCACTCGCCCTCTGATATTGTAAACTCCAATCAAAATAATGTTTATTAGTGTTAGTTAATGAAAATTTGTCCTATTGGATAACAAATTAATCGTAGAATCGTTGAATCGTTAGGACTGTCATGTTGAGCTCAGCATCTAAGTAAATTTCATTAAAAATCAAATCCTGTTATAGCAGTCAATCTTTTAGAAATACTCAGTTTTAAATATAATTAGTTTTAAATATAAAATATGCAAGTTAATCTTTGTTGTTACGTATTTCTTCATTTAAACATCAAATTAGTTTTGGAATTGTTTGAAGTTGTAACGCGAGCAGAGTGCTTCAGCACTCCACGGGCTTCGATCATATATATGCAATAAATTAAATTTGAATATGTAATAAAAAGAATCAATACGATTTTCTGTTAGTGTTTTCAATAACAACGTCAACGTTGTTTCTCTTCATTTTCCCTAGCTCCTTTTGCTAGTCTAGTTATTTTCCATTTGTCCAGGAATGGGAATTTTCCATTAGATAAAGTAGTTGGTACTTCGACACAACAGAGCTTAATATATTATATGATATAATATATTATATTTCGGTCATAGCAAATAGTGATTAGCTGTTCGTCGGTCACGATATTCCGAAGCTCTGTAAAAATATTGCCGTTATGGGGTTATTAAATGTGCAAAAACATCTAGAATATCATAAAAATCGAGTAAGTAATCGATCAATATACATATTGCTATTTTGTTGAATGAAGCGTGTCCGTTTATACTTGTACTTCAATTTTGTGAATGATATACTTCAATGAATAAGTATGAGAAACGTAATATAGTAGAGACTATAAAAATAATTATCTTTTTCATATTTGTCAAATTATGTAAATTTTTGTCGTTATAAATTTTATTCTTTCTCTTTTTTTATTTCTTGGTATTATTTTGATTACTTTTTTGTGTTTACATTTTTTGCCATTGCTTTCGAAATACCTTGGTTATCTGTCTTAGCAGATAATACAAAACAAAATGATTCGCCTTTTATAAAGAAATACTTTAATGTCGATGTCATTATAGACGTTGTAATTTATAACAAAAATATACTCTTGAGGGGAACGGGGGAGGAAGAAAGAAAGAAAGAGACAGAGACAGAGAAAGAATACAAAAACGTATGTATGTAGAATATACTACTAGTTAATTGCAAAGATAAATACAAGTCCAACAAAAACAAAGATAAAAGAATATATAAATAGGAAACCATTAGTGAACTGATAATTTTACAAACATACCTTTGGAATAATCAAAGTTATGTTTAGAGGGATCGAATATTATAAATAACGAGTCATTTTATCTCCCTTCTGATTTCTAAAGAATCTGAAAGTATAAAATTGCGTAAAATGCACATACATAAGATAAAGAAATATATAAAATATACAAAGTATATATAGTGCTTTTTATAATATTTGATACATAAAACAATTTTTTACTAAGATGCTATTGTTTGAATCATGTACTTAAAAATATGAATTTGCAACAAAATGAGCGGTATAATCATGAAATATAATGTGTTTTTTCTTCTTTCAATGCATTTAAGTAGCATATATCTAGAATGTTTAATAATGTTTAATAAAATCAAATTTAATCATGCATAATCAAACGTGCCCATCCATCATTTTATTCATTTTCTAGGTCAGTAAAACAACGTGCAGATCAATCCTTTAGGAGAAGTTGTTTTTTACTTAAAATTGTTAAAAGATTACAACTTTGAACTGTCGGATATCTTTTGAATCCAATGTTTCAAGGTGTGATCTATTAAAAGAAAAAAAGAAAAAAGAAAGATATAGGCAAACTTAAACGGAACCAAATCTTATTTTTTATTGGATTCAATTCGAAAGAAAGGGAAAGTTTGGCAAATTATAAAAATGGGCTCCACAAGACAAGAAGATAGATTACTCAGCGTTGGAATATCTTTGCCGCAGTGGATCAAAGGCCGAACTGACAATAGGTTCGTTTCTTTTCGAATCCTTTGTAGAATTGGAGTGTTGTAAGGTTGTTAAACTTCGACTTGTACTGAGTTGCAGGCTTGTGATGCCTTAACGTAGCATTGTTCTTTGCTGAATGTAGAAGAAATTTAAACCAATTGCAATGGTAAGAGGCAATTTTTTAGATTGCTGGCAGGGCATCTCTGTGAATCTGTAAATACTGAATACAAGTAGATTTAGCATTAACCCTCTTAATATGACTATCAAATATATTTGTTATGCGAAAATCGTGCTGCCAAGCCGGCGGTTGGATTTTATCTACTTTCACATAAAACTAAGTCTATGATTTATGATTATAATGGATGTGTATTTTGATGAATCTAATATTTGAAGAACAATGTAGCTATTCTTATAAGAATGCATATATATATTTGACTGTTATCATGTGTCTGTCGAAATGTTCTTTCATCAGAAAACACGTACATTATAACTATAGCCTAGTGTATAAAATAGAAAAACAATATCAATCTTGATTAAAAACAAATTTAGATCTTACAAATATGCTTAGCTGTCAAACGATGTTACAAAAATAAGTGTAATAAAATTGTAAAAAAATAAGTGTATGCCATAAACAAATTTTTCACTCGGAATAATAATTATTATTTTTAATTAAAATCGTCTAAATTATTCTGTGCTGTATTTTCAAAGTTAAGTCACTTTTACTAATCGTAATTGACAGAAATGATTCGGTCAGGTGAACTGATTTTTCCTTTTACTAAGTTTTACAGAAGAGTTGATCTCAAAATTAATCACTGAATATACCATAATCATTCACATAAAACAAGAGATTTGCATTGTTTAAGTCTTGGATGTTCAATTCATACATTTAATAAACGATAAGAAATATTTATACATGAAATTTGGCTAATGCGTGATACAATACGAATAAGTAGTTAATCGCATGGGCATTGTGCCCGCTATTCTTAGACTCAAGATACTCCTCGCAATAGTGCGACCTCGTATAGCTTACTGTGTGCGGTGCATAACGTTTGTTATACTCTTTTCTTATTCTCTCTTGTAGATCTATGTCGATTTACATTAAAACATCGGATTAAATAACGATTGTTTGTTCACGCATGTTATGAATAGTATCGAATTCAACAAAATACTTATGTCAGGCATTGAATTATTCGTTGAATTAGTTGACGGGTTAGCATTCTGAGAAACGCATCGCTATAGGACTTAGAAATTTATAGACGAACTGTTGGTATTAAAGAGAACAATATATCAATGGTAAGAAGATATCTAAAGCTGAAAGAATCTTCTAACAAAAGACCATCAGTCGAAGAGCCTTTATTTATCGAGTAGCATACCCTTGTTTGCTTCATTAACCTTACTTTCTTTCTTTGCGACGTGTAATTACCAACTTCTCGTCTTTTTTCTTTTATGCAGATGTGATTTCGATGACATTACGTTTAGTCCACCATCTCATGACGACAGCTTCTTTTACATACGATATCCGAAGACACAAAATCGATCATCGGTTTCGCAAGAATATCGGCCGATTGACGAAGTTTTTGAGGAACAAAATATTACTTCATCAACAAATAATGTGAAAGTACAGGATACGCAACAACAACAGTCTACCGAGGAGAAGAAAAAAAATCAGGAAATTGATTTCAGCAAGCATCCCTTACCTTGTCAACCGTTTATACCATCAACTTTAACAGCGAATAAAGGTAATTTACAATTGACTGTTGCATGCGTTCTTTGTGCAGTTAGTAATTACGAATTTTCTTTTAATTATTACGACTGAAACAACGAATAACAAGTAAAATTTCTTTCTTACTCTTTGTGATTCAATGTTTCTGATTTTGCTGCCAGAAAAAGGAATTAAATCAAGTCCGAAGGTATTAGTGACCGATAATACGAAGATTACAAAATCACAGGGGGTAGATGATGGATTTCACGGCAAGCCAGCACTTTGTGGAAAGTCAATTGTTCTTGTAGCTAACCAGATGATGTCTAACAAACTTCACGAGACTATTTCGGCCGAGCAGGCCGCCAGTCAACCCAGAAGAGGAAGCAAATCTTTACCAGCCACTCCAGTCGCTTCGCCATCAGGCAGTCCAAGCGGTTCGCCTAAGGCTCGTCGTCGTGTTTCTTCGAACCGATACTTTGCAGGAGCATCCCTTAATGATTGCGGGAAATATCAGGGAGGTTGGATCTTGGCAAGCATCTTCGGACAATCTAGGGAACTCGTTACTAGCAAGATCGAAGAAGAGGACGAAGCAAACATCGAAGTCGCAACTGCTCCGCTTAGATCGCTTGCTCGGAAGAAATCCATTTCGTCGCAAAATCTTACATATGTAGGAAGCGATGAGAAATCAGAAAAATCAGCTGCTTACCTAAATGCATTTCGAGCAAAACCATCGCAATTAAGAGAAATGAATTTCTGGTCCCCAACATCGATGTGAACCAATGTAGTAAATTGTTATTCGTTTACATCTTAAGCTTAGTTAATCAATAGCGATTAATTCGGAAAGAAGGATTTTTTTAGAAGGAAAGCACGATAGAAATATATACATATTATTGTCACTTTCTGAGTTTTTTAAAATCAACGAATGAACGCATTGATAAAACGAAAAATAAACAAAGGAGAGCAGCTTTTTGCTCGTTATTTTTCGTGTATTCTTAACAATGTGCTTATTATAGTTAGTACGATTATTTAATAACGTATTTGTGCTTATTCTTTCTTTTTTCTATTTTTTCGGCTTTTAATTAATGCTATTAAACAAAGATGTTCTTTCCTTAATGGTCTTTCTTTAATAGTGGAACACTATCATAATGATGATGACATAGATCAGGAATACAAAAGGAAATACTCGTGTATCGAACACTATGGTTTTCTTATAAAGCTTTGAGAAGCGGGGG